GGAAGTCATGTCGTTTTTTCGGGATTTTGGAAGTCATATTGTACTATGTTGTTTTTTCGTTATTTGGGAAGTCATTTCGTTTTTTTTCGGGATTTTGGAAGTCATTTCGTTTTTTCGGAGGTCATAGGTTACTGTGTCGTTTTTTCGTGATTTGGATGACTAACCTTACTTCACGTTTTATTCATGATTTTTGAAGCAAAATTTTATTATGTTTATTCATGATTTTTATCTTGCATAAGATAATTACCTATCAGCTCAAAATTATTTGCACATTCAAGCGAAAGAGCTCAAAGCATTATCACATGACTAGAATCGAGAATTAGAAAATCTCACAGTGACCAAATCCACTCAATCCTTTCATCCAAAATGTTGTCACTTACAGGATTTTTCGTCCCTGGTTTTCCGAAGTTGATGCGTTTCCAGGAACATCACGATCGTATCCTCAAGAAGATGATGCCCAAACTGAAACATCACCTGGTGAGACACAGAATTACTGTGATAAGGATCAATGCAACAACTGGTCTTGATGACAGAAATAAAACATAAATACTTTACTCTGTGGATATGGAAGCTTGTTTAAGCTAAATAATCATAGGACAGTGATAAAAACACTAAATTGATGCTGTGACACATTTGTTAAATCGAACACTCAACAGTCTCGTCTCACTCTCTCTTCCCTTCTCGATTTACTCACACATTTCTTTGTGTTTGTTGTGTTACAGGACAACCAGGAAGTGTTCACCAGTCTCTACACCATGAAGTGGTTCTTCCAGTGTTTCCTGGACAGAGTGAGTTCATTAACACAAAGTGACTGCTTCAGTTCTTAAACAGTTCAGGTGAAGAGGTTTCAAATTGAACTAACATCCCTATGTAACTTCATCTGCTTACTACGTAGATTAAGATCATTAATTCTACATAGTTTTTCAATTTCAGAGCTTATAGTAGTTTAGAGAGGGGACTTGAGATATCTCATTTTAGTTCCACCCATAAATGAGAAAATACTTTTAGCAGATATTTAAAACATTTCTAATTTCAGGAAAAATCCTCTGACCACTGAAAGGAATGTTTAACTCATAAGAACACTGGCTGTCTTCAGTCAGGAGGAAAAAAAACTTCACATTTACACCAAGATACATTTGTAGGGACTAAAAGGATGATTTTAATATTCTATATTTTTCTTGTCATCAAATCCAACGAAAAGACCAAATGCATTAGTTCGCCCTGTGTTAACAACATCATCTAAACACTTCATCACTCAGATGTAAAAGGATATTAGGTGTTTCAGAATGAATCAATGAATCTGGAGACGAGACCTGGACGACGCTCGGACAGATGAACATTATTGGATTTGGTCTTTTCACAGGATTTGTTGATAATAACAAGAATATTGATATTTGGCCGAGCTAATCCATCATGGTCACTGTGGGCCAAAGCAATAATATCATCTACAAGACAATAATGAAAAGCTCTTCTAACTCTTTTTGTGTTTATGTCCAGACTCCGTTCACCCTCACACTCAGGATCTGGGACATCTACATCATGGAGGGTGAACGAGTGCTGTCTGCCATGTCCTACACTCTCCTCAAACTGCACAAGAGTAAGACTGTTCGCTCGGCACGACGTCATCAGCTGCCGCTCTCTCGTCAGAAAAGCTAAAAACTGATCTGTGTGTGTGTGATGTCGCAGAGCACCTGATGAAGTTGTCCATGGAGGAGCTGGTGGAGTTTCTGCAGGTGACTTTGTCCAAAAACTTCTACTATGAGGACGACATTGTGATCGAGCAGCTGCAGGCGTCCATGACGGAGCTGAGGAGGGCGAAGCTGGACCTGCCTGCCCCAGGTACAGCTACAGCACCAAGCACACGATGGGAGCAGGGACATTAAACCTGTTGGTCTGTGGTGACGCTGCTGCCAACAACTATAAAAGAAAATACTAGACAATGTCAAAACTTTTTTACAGAATCAACAATGCAGAAAAGATGTGTATTTATACTTTCAGTGATAATTATATTTAAAATGAGTTTTTGAACTGTCATTGTCAAAATTGTTTGTATATATCCACTTATATCAGTATCGTATATATTTCACTGCCTAGTGTCAGAATCTATTCCCAAAAATGTATGTTTCAATTAGAACTCTTCATTATTATTTGGTCTTTTAGGGATTTAAATTTTTTTATATTTCATTATCAAGCAAATGATGAGAATTTACTGCTTTTTTTCTTTTTCTTATACTATTATAATGATAATAATATTATGGACAGTTGATCAGACCAAAAAAATCCATTTGAGATTATTATGAAGTAGTGATGAGTTTTTACATCACTTCCTGAGTTTGATAACATTCAAAAAATGAGGAAGAATTTTAAAATCATGGAGAGAATGCTGCTCATCTTATAAAACATGTGGAAATTTAAAAAACTCCACACTAGTTCTAAAAATCAGTGATTCATAACCGTGCATTTGCTCTTCCTGAACGTTTTTCTTACCTTTTACATTTTCATCCGATGAGAAAGTGACATTCCCAGTTGTGTTCTGTAAAAAACAAAGACCGTGCATTAACGAACGATATCAGATATCACCACAGTGTGAATGAGCAGCTCTGCCGTCCTGCAGTTCGTTCAGCAGTCGTGTGTTTCTCGTCTTGCTCTGTCTTCTCATTAATCTGCCTTCTCTCCCTCTCCTGCCCGACAATGTTAAGCCAACAACAACAAAACTGTGGCCGTGAGCGGGGGCCACATTCCCTCCTACAACAGTAACCGGTGGGCTATCCTGACTGGTCATGTCTCTGTCCATCTGTCCCTCAGTCCGTCCGTCCTGTCTGTCGCCTGTCTGTCCAACAGCACTCGGGTTCTCCCTTCACAAACTAGTCTTCCAGCTGTTTTTTATCCCCCCCACATGATGTGTATTTATTTTTTAACACTGTGCAGATGCATTGCTTCAGTGCTTACATGGAGTCCTGCAGTGGCTGGCTCTCCTCTTCTCTACCCTCTGTTTGTTCCCTTTTTTCTGTCTGTCAGAGGTCCTTCAGGTGACATAGTGTTCCCCCTGGTGGCCAATTAAAGGCACTAAGATGTTCTTAATCAAGAGCTAATATTGACTTTAAACCTGCAGCTTCATTTTACAGAAATAACATAATTAACTGTTCTTAGAGAATTTGCAGAGGATTTTAAAATACAAAGTTATATTTGTTAAGATGATTTAATAAGTCACAAAAGTAAACTTTAATTTATAGATTTACTGAGTTCCTCCGTCACGTTTCTCTGTCTTCAGCAGCAAATGTGGGTTTTTTAAGGATTTCTCTTTTCATTTTCTTGCGGAACCCACACGACTCGAACAGAAGCTGTCTGTTGCTCGCTGACAAGATAATGAGCCACTTTTCCAAACACTCGAGGCTTTTGTTAAATTCCTTTTTTTTGAACAACCATCTGCAGCCTCATTTTCCGTATCTGAACTGTGAGAACTGACAGTGATTTCATGGTTCTGTGGTTTTCAACATTACTAAGCCTGGTTTGAGCTAAAAGACTTTACCTCATAAACGTGAGTTTAGGGGTTAATTATTAAAATTACTTATTAAGGAATCAGAGCCTGAAATTAGGCCAATTTATTTTAAAAAGCTAATAAAAGCTGATCCTGTTGTTTTGGTATTTACTTCGTTTAGTTTCTTCCTTCAAGACAAAAAAATATGAAAAGGATTCTGATGCTTAAAACTACAACAATGTTAAAGATGATTATTAATCAATTAATTAAAATTATGGAACGTATTTGAACTTTAGAGTTTTACCTTTTTCTGAAGCAGGAAGTCGACGTTGACAGGTCAGTTTCCTCTGTTTCTTGGAGAAAAGGTTCAGTGGATGAACTCGTCTCGATGGAGTCACTGTAGTTTGTGGATTCAGTGCCAGTTAGTTCATTTCCTGGATCACTCCCCACAGCACTTCCTCTTCCTCCAGCTGCCGCCTCTGACTCTGGTGATCTCACTTTTCCTTACAGTCCCCAACACGTCCAGCTCCTGTCGACTGTCCTTCTTACTTCTGTGTGACATAAAACAATAAGTGAAGGTGTCGCTCATGACGTGTGACATGTTCTGCTTGTAGAGTAGAGCATTTGGTGTAAACTGAGTCGAAGTGAAGAAGTATCTCTGTGGTTTTAACGCTTGTACTTTCAAGAAGCCTCATTAACCGAGAACTATTTCTGGACGACCTTTAGAGTCCGGGGCTCCTGCTGCAGTTTAATGAAAAGGAAAGAAACTAAATTTCTGGGAGCACTTAATTCACTGTCACTGTCTAACTGAGCCCCTCCAGCAAACTGGGAATTCATATTAAACACTATTTCTGATTATTTTTCTGTCCTGTGCTCTTTGCCTGTGGAGATGTGATTACGTGTCATCATGAATGTAATTCTCCTTCGTTTTTTTTTACCTCTCTATGGCAGTGGTGTTGCATGAATCCATGTTGTGACTCCTCATCTGATGTGAATCAGCGCCACAGTGTGTTCAACCATCAGCCCTCAGGTTTTCTTCAGATGATTCTCTAATGTGTTTTCTCTGATTCCGCTCTGCAGGTAAAGACGACGAGTTTCCCAAGAAGCCGTTGGGGCAGCTTCCTCCTGAGCTGGCAGCAGCAGTGGTGGTGAACCACGTGGCCAACGGTCAGAGCCACGTCGAGCCCGCCGATCCTCCCAGGGACCGGAGTCCTCTACCGGAGCAGCAGCGGGAGAGTCGGCCTCCCAGCCGGTTACGCCGGGACTCGCTGGACAAACCGTTCCGTCACCACAAGGCTGACAGGAGGGACGCTCGTTCCAGGGGTTCAGGGGAGATCCCCGCCTCCACCACACCGGAGAGGGGGGCAACGCCATCCTCAGTGCTCACCCCTACGCCACACCTCACCACAGTGGACAGAGGGAAGCCTGAGAGCCACGCCACCGCCAACCACAACTCCAACGCTGCCTCCAGCTCTCACAAAGACATCACTCCCCGCTGGTTCAAACCCTCCGAGACGAAGCTGGAAGCGGTCAAAGCGGCAGCGGCCCGGGACACCCACCTGAGCAGGGGTGCATCACCGGCCCCTTCCAGCCCAGACGACACTGCACTCCCCAATCGCCGACCGCACTCCAAGGGCTTCGTCCCCGACTCCAACCGAGGCTCCAACGCCTCCCAGTATGACAACGTGCCAGGGCTGCAAGAGCAGGAGTTTGAGATCTTGGAGCTCGAGAGACCTCTGTCCAGAATGAGGACCCCTCGCAGTGAGACGCCCTACAGTGCATCATCCCAGAATCAGGGCAGTCCCAGCCATGGACCCAGCCTGACAGGGAGCGCCGTCTCCGTCGCCTCTGGGCTGAGGATGGCCAAGCACCCGCTTCCTCCGTCATTCTCCCACAACAGTCCCACGGGGGTCCAGTCCAGCTACCCTGGCAGTCAGAGCCAGTTCCACACTCCATCCCCAAGCAGAACCACGGAGGTTCCAATCTACCATCCAGGATACGGCATGAACCACAGAGCCGAGGACAGACTGTATGCCCCGCCCTCCAGGGCCCCCGCACCCTCCAACATGGCGTACAGTGAACAAGTGTACGCCACCACCCAGCGGCAGCCCAGTAACTTCTCCCCAGAGAGGACTGTTATGAACAACTCATTCGCCACTTACCGCAGACAGCCGCCACCAGGCTCCGCCCACATACCGCGAAGCACCAGACCTCCTCTGCAGCTGGAGACCCAGGGAAGGTCCACCCCCATCTACCTGCAACAGCTCACCTCCACCGCACAGGTCCACGCTCTGGGGGACAACAGGTTTGAAGGGCAGCTGAGAGGGAAGGTGAACCCGCACCACCTGCCAGAGGGGGGGGCTCAGCGGTCGGTAGACGGGCTCCGGTGGGCGCCAGAGGACGGGCTGCCCCCTCCGTCCCCGGGTGGGATGCCCCGCTCACCCAGCTTCCAGCAAGCCCAAATGTCTCCCCACAAGGAGTTCACGTTTCCCGCCAACCCAGACAGCCTGCTTCAGTACAGGACACAGTTCCAGGAGCAGCAGCAACAGCTCCCCCAGCTGTTCGGAGGACCACACTACAGGCACGCACAGGAGGCGTTCGCCTTGCAGGAGTCGATGCTGCTGTAACACAACGAGGACATAAAGAGACACTGGAGATCAATATAAACTGAGGTGTAGTCACTGACACTGTGGTAACGAGGGCAAACGTCCGAGCATTGTTAGGAACCTGGTGTTGTTTCCGCCCTGTTGTTCTTTGTGTGTGAAGTTCTGACCGTCTTACTGTCGCGCTGCATCGCTGCAGGACACACCAGCCTCCGACGTTTTTACTGCTCGCTCTGAAAAGAGACACACAAAATAAACTGACTGAAGATTTTATTTTATTTTTGGATGTAAATCATTAAGCAGAGGGGACAGTCTATATCTTTTAGAGTCTGACGTGTACAGTGGATTTTCTTTTTGTTAATATGCTGAGTTGTTATAAGTAGCGGGGGGGGGGGGGACTTTCTCCTGACAGAGCAGAAAAACGCTGATTTTATTTTCCATCATTATTTTTTATATGTTACTTACAGATATTTACAGTAGAGATCAATTTACTCGATATGCTTGTGAATGTTATTTTTCAAAGAGAAGAAGTAAAAAAAATATTCCCAATGACGCGGCAGAGAAACTGTCACTGTAAAGGTTTGATTTCCATTTCAACTATGAAGCGTCTCCACTGTAGAAAAAAAGAGTGTTTGTTGTTTCAGTTTGTTTTCTCCCTGATGAACTCGTGTGAACTGCGTTTCTCTTTTACACGTGAAGTATAGTACATTGGGTATTTATATTTGAGGCCAGTGTAGTTTCTGAATAAATTCCAACCCTGATTAGAAAACTCAAGGAATAGAGAACTCATTTGTGAGCGCTAGTTATGTTTGTATTGTTTTGACTTTTACGACATGAGTAACTCGTATTTTTTTTTTTTTTTTTTTTAATCGCTGTACTGTAGCTACCACATCCTGAGCACACGCACCAGGAGACGGATGTGAAATAGTTTCAGCACAATTTGATTTACTTCATTATGTCTCATTATTCTCAACACTGTCACATCAACTACTGCTCAGCTGCTGGCACTTCCACTGGCAATACAGTCATCTGGCACACACACACACACACACACACACACACACGCTCACACTACAAGTCACAAATGTGCGACTCACACATTTAAACATGTAATCAGCCACATTCCCAGTTAATCTCAAACAGTATCGTACTGTTCATTACATTCCCTAAGTTATCTTTGTTTTCTGTTCAGCGACTAACCGCAGATCATTCTGATACTTTGCTTAATAAAATGAGGTGGGTTGAAAATGAAGCTCTGGATTTGGTCTTTACTTGTCCTGAAGCAGAAGTTGAGTCATTTTCGTGCTTGTCTATATTTTCCTCTATCGATGAAACTCTGCCCCCTGGTGGGGCAATGGAGCTGTGGAATAATGTTCCATGACGGGAGCCAATAAAGGTTTGGATGTGTTTTTAAAAAGCAGACATGGAAGTAATTGTTAATTAAATTGTTTAAAAATAAATCCTATAAATACTATTCAAGTACTTCAAACAGAAAGGCACAAATATATATATATATATAGAATCTGAACGTTTGAATTACACAACACGGAGTAAACAGACAACTTCAATTTTTATATTGACTGAATATTAATCTGCAACAATTTAAAAAAACTTTCTGGTTCCACCTTAAATAAGAGACGTTATATTTTAGTTCGGTGTAATTTTATAAAAGAACAATATCTTGGCAACTTTGAATGGGAAGAAACTAAATTAGCAGTTGAATCTATTTACTTGAATAACTATAAATTATTCAATAGAAAAAACTAAAATGAAATAATGTGAAAAAAGGAATTTTAAACAAGACTTTTGCCACCGACTGGACATGAAGAGCTGCCAGAGATCACAAACATCTGTTTCTCTCACGAAGGCTTCAAATGAAACGGTTCAGCTCTTCTGCTCTGACACCGATGACAGAATCTATCTGTTGCTCTGAGAATTTGTTTTTTTGTGCATGAATAAATTCAGTCATATCTTCTGCAGACAGTCTGAGTCCAGCTCTCCAACACTTTGTGTTGAAGACAGACACAAAGTGCAGGTGATTCACAGACAGAAGTCAAGTTTGGACTTTCTGCTCTCACCTTAGATTTAAAACCATAATAGAAACTTACAAAATCTATTTACATTAAAAAAAGAACTAACCGATGATTATTTCAACCATCAGTTAATCTGGAAATTAATTAATTAGTGTATGAAATTTTAAAAAACGAATAAAAAGGGATCAAACACCGATCACAATTTCTCAGAGCTCAGGATAAATCTTCAAAATGTTAAATTTAAAGTGATAAGAAACAAAAAGCATCACGTCCATACAAACTTTAACCACGAGTTAGAAACAGAAGATAAAACCGGACTCACCGGGGTTCATCTCAGGGACTGTATATAAAGAGGATCATCAAACTTGTTTCTGCTGAAACGAGAAGTTTTCAAAGTTTACATCAAACTCGACGCAGAGTGAATCAGGATAGCAGCCGGAAGTGACGCAATCGTTAATCGACTCTAGAAAAAAAAAAAAAGAATTTAACAGCAAACGTAAAACGAGAATAAATAAATATATTGAGATAATGTAGATTAGGATTCAGAGATTTACACATTCAGTCAAATTAACCTGAATATAATCGCTCATCAGTTCATTACAGTCAGTTTGAACGGTCGATCGAGGAAAACGTGTTTTCAGGCTCTTTGTCAAACAAAATACAACTCAGGTGCATTAATTAGTGATTGAAGGGATGGTTCACAGAAAAATGAAAATTCACTCATCTACCTGGTGGGGGGGGGGGGGTGTGTCCTCCTCCTCTGGTGTGTCCTCCTCCTCTGGTGTCCTCCTCCTCTGGTGTGTCCTCCTCTGGTGTGTCCTCCTCTGGTGTCCTCCTCCTCTGGTGTCCTCCTCCTCTGGAGCCGCGTCCACACGTGGATCACAGTTAAACAATGTTTTGGTTATTAAGGTTTTTTTTTTATTATTATCTAGTTTTAATTGGACAGAGTGAAATGTGTCATTAAAAGGTGTTTTTATTTAACATTTTTACGAGATTCAATT